GGACAAGCAAAGGATCATGAATAGAGGACTCATGGACACGGACAATGGGGGGGATTGACTGTGGGAATGGGGAGGGGTGTGGTAAGGATGAGCAATGGGGAAAAAGGCAAGACAACTGTTACTGAACAATAAATAAAAAATTAAAATTAAAAAAGCTAAAAAAAGAAAAGAAAAAATGTATGTGTGAATAGAAAAGGAATAGACTGGGGACAGCCTTTTAAAATTCTGCACAAAGGAGAATCAAGATGGTGAAGGAGTGAGTAGAAGTCACAGTGATCTCCTGCTAGGACCACTCTGGAATTACAACTAAAATGTGGAGAAATCACCTGGAACAAACAACTGAACAATAGCGAAAGAGGAGCCTTATAACCTCAGATAGACAGAAGAATCAGCTTTAGCATAACCTAACTGCTAAGGAGTGCGGTAGAGACTCGAGAAAGCGGGTCAGATGCCCATGGGTGGCAGCACCAGAAGGACATTAAAAGGGCCAGTTGGATTCCCCTTAGATGAGCGGGGTCTAAACCATAAGCAGGGATCTTCAGCCTACAGCACCAAAGTCCAAAAAGTACACAGATAACAATCGGCTTCAAAAAGTGTCAGGGTTGCTCTCTGCCAGAGACAGGTGCCTGGAGATGCAAAGAGCCATTTAAAGGGCTAATACATAAATTTTTATTTGCAGCCACTTACATACAAGGGCAGGGACAGAGTGGGCTGGAGACACTTGAGGAGAGACTGGTGACAGAGGCTTTGGGGAGAGAGCGCAGAAAGTAGGCAGGATTCCGGTCCTGACTCCTCCCACATGCGGGAGCAGCCATCTGGCTCAGGCAGACCACTCCCCTGAGTGGCATCAGCATGAGAAGACCCAATAACCCCGCCTCCAGGAGGGCCTCTACTCCACCCTGTGGTGTCTATGCCTAACTGTTGAGTGCAGGGTGACTAGATTAACAGCTGAAGGAGACAGTCACAGACAGTAGATTCCTGGAAGTCTTGAACAGACTGCCTAAGATCAGACAGGGTCAACATTTGGCATCATCAGAAGCAGATCCATAAAGAAAATACAGTGGTCTCCAACCATACAAGTTCACACCACAAAGTCAGGAAATCAAGACAGATCAGTTTAAGAAGCAGAAGCAAAAAAGAAGAGTCTCACAAATAATGGGAAGACAAAGAAACACTACCTACTTGAAGGAAAAGGAGGAATCCCCACAAAGAGAACTTATAAAATAGAAGCAAGTAAACTATCAGATATTGAGTTCAAAACAATGGTGCTAAGGAAGCTCAATGAGCTCACAGAAAATTACAGTGAACTTATAGGGAATTTAAATTATAGGGAAACTACAAGGAACTTACTGCAAACTATATCAGCATGAAAAAAGACATAGACACTATCAATAAGAAGCAAGAGCAAATGAAGAATACAATTTCTGAATTGAAGAACACAGTAGAAGGAGCAGAGGAATGAATCAGTGAGCTGGAGGATAAGGTAGGAGAAAGGTCCCAGAAAGGGCAAGAAAATGAAAAAAAAAAAACAACCAAAAAACAAAAAACAAAAAGAATGAAGAGGTGTTGAGGGAAATGCAGGACAACCTGAAACGTAATAATATCCATATAATACGGATACCAGAAAGAGAAGAGGAGGAAGGGATAGAGAACCTGTTTGAAAAAGTAATGATGGAAAACTTCCCTAATTGGAGGACACGAAAAGTCACACAAGTCAAGGAAGCACAGAGGGTCGCATTCAAGAGGAACCTAATGAGGCCCACTCCAAGACACAGCATCATTAAAATGCCAAATATCAAAGACAAACAGAGAATCCTAAAGGCAGTAATGGAGAAAGAGGCAGTAACATATAAGGGAGCCCCAGTACAGCTAGCAGCTGACTTCTCAACAGAAACACTACAAGCCAGAAGGGAAGGGCAAGAAATATTCCAAGTAACAAAAAGCAAAGGCCTGCAACCAAGACTGCTCTACCCAGCAAAGCTCTCCATTAAAATGGAAGGCAAAATAAGGAGTTTCCCAGACAAAAGAAGGCTAAAAGAATACACCTCCACCAAACCAGCATTGCAAATTATGCTAAAGGGACTGCTTTAAGAAGATGAAGAAAAAGAGTCTATGAATACTCAGTTCCTTTCACAGTCACTAATACTTGATATTACCAATATTTTTAATACTTATTAATCTGAGTGTGACAATGATGTGTTATTTTAATTGTTCCTTTATTATCTGTTGAAACTACACCTGTTTTTGTATATTTATTGCCTATTTCTATTATTTTAAAAAAGTTTTAAAAGACTTTTTGGTATTCTTTATCCATTTTTTGATTAAATGTTTTTAGAATTTTTTCCCTAAAAAAAACAAAAAAACTATTAACCCTGTTTTAGATGTGTTGCAAATACTTTCCCATTCTGTTACTCGTCCTTTAACTTTTTTTATATGTATATTACTATATAGTCTTAAATGTTCAATATAGTCATACTGTCAGTATTTTACTTTATAGTTTCTGGGTTTGAATATTTTACTTCAGGGTAAGAAAAATATTATTTTGTATTTTCTCTGAAAACTGCTTAGATTTTACATATTGATTTTTAATTCACCTGAATATTTTTTGTATAATGTGTGAAATAGGGCTATTTGTTTTATTTCAAGTAATAGTGGTCCATGCACCTTGTTTGTTGAATAAGCCTTATTCCCCCATTGATTTGAAATATTAATTTAATCATATATTACATTGTTAGACAGATATATACATTTGTTTGTAGAATGCTCATTTCATTTCACTGAACTACTTGACCATTTCTATGCTGGTGTCATGTTTTAATTGCTGCGATTTTATAATGGTTTTAAATTTTTTAATATTTTCTAATGGATTTTGACATTTAAAAGAATAAATAAATAAAGTCAACCTGCATTTAAAAAAAAAGAAGGAAGGAATTCCTGCCTTTTGCAACAGCATGGATGGAAATGAGGAATATTATGCTAAGTGCAATAAGCCAGTTGGTGAAAGACAAATACCACATGATCTCACCTATAAGTGGAATCTATTCAACAAAATAAACTAACGGACAAAATAAACCACTAGCATGGAAACATGGAGCAGACTTAAAGTGACAAGAGGAGATGGGGAAGGAGGACAATGGTGGAAAGGAGAAGGGACTAAACAAGGAACATGTATGAGTGACCCATTGACATGGACAACAGAGTAGAACTGACTGTGGAAGAGGAGGACGGGGTGGGATGGGTAGAGGAGGGCAAAGGGGGAAAAATTGAGACAGTTGTAATAGAATAAACATGATTTTAAAATAAAAAAATTTAAAAAATTAAAATGAAATGAAATTAAAATTCTGCACAAAAGTGATTTCCAACCTAGCATTCTATATCCAGCTGATAAGATAAATTTAGTGTAAGAGTTAAATAATATATTCCCAAGGTATTTATCACTTTTTTATTTCTATAATTATATATATTAAATATATCTTTGCATGACATTTTCAGACATGCAAAGTTTTATACAATCCACCTGTCATGTATCCATTTTCAAGGACAGACGAGGATGTGCTCCTACAAAATGAAGGGGTAAACCAAGAAAGAGGGAGATAGTGGATCCAGTAAAAAGGAAGGAAAATATAGGATCCCCAGCCATAGCTGGTGTGGCTCAGTGGACTGAGCGCCGGCCTGTGAACCAAAGGGTCACCAGTCTGATTCCCAATGTAGGGCACATGCCTGGGTTGCAGGTCAGCTCCCCAGAACGGGGTGTGTGAGATGCAACCACACAGTGATGTTTCTCTTGCTCTCTTCCTCCCTCCCTTCCCCTCTCTAAGAATAAATAAATGAAATCTTTAAAAAAAAAGAAAATATAGGATCCCCAGGAAAGGGGGTATGCAACAAAACAGAGGTGAAAAGGATTTCCTGGGGGATGGCAAAGGGAAGAGACCAAGACAATAGTTGTGTGTTAAGCTGAGAGGGCAACCAGACCAGCCTTCACCAAGTCAACAAGTTCCAGGAAATATTTCTTCAAAGAGAAGACACTGATCCCCACATTTGAGAATACCCCACCTACTACTAGCTGTGTGAACTTGGGCTACATAATTTTTCTCTATGCCCTAGTTTCCCTCTCTATAAAATGAGAATAACAATGGCACCCACTTTTTCAGGTTGTTATGAAGATGAGTTAGTATATATATAGTGTGTATAATAGTGCTGGGCACAGAGTAAACATTATATGAGTGTTTACAATTACTGTCATTATCATTATCTAAAATACAGATAATAACCTGTTTGATTATACAGAGAGATTTAACTGGGAAGAATTCGGAGTTGAATTATTGATATGTATATAATAAAGCAAAGAAATGACTAAAACCAGAAAACTGTTAACTGCATGGAAAAGAAAAAGTTGTATAGAAATAATAACCACAGAAGGGATACTGCATGACTCAACTATACACATTCAGAGTAATAATCATTGACTGTCATCTGATCAAAACAACAATGTTTATAGGCAAATGTATACATGAGTGGGGGTGTACAGAAAAGCTAAATCTCCACCTCCTATAGGGAAAGTCAATAGATAATGTTCAAAACTAAAAATTAAAAATGTCTGTTTAAAAAATTAAGAGTGCTTCCCTCTAGGGAGCTGGAATCTGGGAGAAACAAAGCAGGGAGGAGCCATTTTTAAAGACTTTAGAAAACTATTTGACCTTTTACCATTTGTAAAATAAAACTAAAAGCTAATTTTATATTACAAAGTGGCACAAATATTCACAAAAATATATGACAATGATAAAGGGTTATTAACCTTAATATTTTTTAAAAAACTCTTTAAAATAAATAATAAAGAAGCAATGGACAGGAGAATGAAATTCACACAAGGGAAATAAATTACCAATAAAAATTCTGATTCTGCTGCCTGATTTTTTAAAGTCATATATATTAAAATAATAAGACCCTATCTTTCATTCTGAATGAATTTCTGCCCCTGGGCACCTCTTCTTTTCCCTTACCTCACAGGAGTTGTCTCTTCCTCCTGCAGTCAGGGCCAAGGACCACTGGGGAGAGCTCTGGTTGGCTGGCATTTTCACTCTGGGCCTCAGCCCTCAGGCTCTCTTGCTGACAGCTCAGCTTCTCCCAGAAGCCTAAGGCCAGGCAGGGTCCATGGACTCAACCAGAGCTGCTGGGGCCAGAAGGAAGATGCTGTAGGCTTCACTATGGGGTCTGGTCCAGGGGCTCCACAGAGACTCCAAGAAACCTAGAAGAGAGTGTCCACATGGTCAATCATTAAGCATTCACCCCACAAACGTCACTTGGGGGCACCAAAGTACAGTTCACAGCACTGGATGCTGTGGAGTAAACACTATCTGGTCAACACCTATTCTAGTTATTCATCAAAATGGAATATGAGCGAGACCATAGGTTTAGACTAAAATTAATAAAGGCTTAAATTCTAGCTTTGCCAACTTTTAGCTATGAGAATATAAAATTTTTTTTTCAAAATGAGTCAAAACTGTTTATCCCAAGGGATTGTGAATATTAAATGAGATGATGTTTATAAGGCACTAAGCACCAGATCAGACCAACCCAAGTAAACTTTTAATTCATATTAACAATTATTGTTATTATGGGGAATCATATAATGAGCAGAAGCAGGTACCTCATTTAATTTGCACAACAATCCTGTCATCTATGTGTTATTATTATTATTATTATTTCATTTTATGCATACAGAAACAGAAGTTTAATGATGTTAAGTAAAATCCAGTCTACCTGGCTTCAAAGTTCACATTCTCAATACTATATCACAAGGTACTTGTTATATATGTGGTAGACTCAAAATAAATGTGGTTCTGTTTAATAGATATTGAAAACATGACAGTGATTTGGAATAAAAACTTTAAAGTTTCTTAAACTACAAGAGACATGTCACAAGGAAAATACTAATAGCCTGGGACAGACTAAAATTGTCCAATTTTAATATCCAAAGGTAAAATTGCTTCTGTTGAAGGAGAAGGTATCTCTGTGTCCAATAGAGGCACTACAGATTTTGTCATTCTTTTTAAGAAAGGGAAAATATCCATATAAACTGAAGAGGAACTTAAGACAACAAAAGAGGTGGGATGAAGAGGAAACAAGGAAGTAAAATAAGTAAGGAGTAAAATAAAATATACATAGGTGTATGGAGGGGGTATAAGAGGACTAAATGGTAATGGAAAAAAATACAATAAAGATTATATTAAAATAAAATGAAATGAAAGGCATGCACAAATTAAAATTTTAAAACATGAAGGTGACATTGTACCAAAGAAAGAGAAAATATGCTTTCTTTTGTAATGCCCATGGAACTTAAGGGAAATGAAAATCAAAACCAAAATTTTCTATTCATATCCATTAAAATAGCAAAAATAAGAGGGGGAAAGGCATAACGGGGGAAAGGTCAAGTCAAGGAAGATATATAAAGGACCCAAGGACAAAGACAATGTGAGGGAGAGGACTGAATGTGGGAGGTGAGGGGTGGGTAGGGCAGGGGAGAGTAATGGGAAAAAATAGGGACAACTGTAATTGAGCAACAAAGTTTTTTTAACAAAAAAAGAATAGCAAAAATAAGAAAAAAAGACAATAACTAGTGTTGGTAAGGTATGAATAAGCGAGCTCTTATACAGTGCTGGTAAAACTGTAAAATAATGCAGCCATTCTGAAAAACAGTTTGGCAAAATGTTACCCACAGAGTCACCATATGATCCAGCAGTTCCATTCCCAGGTACCTACCTAAGAAAAACAAAAGTATATGTTTACTCAAAAACTTGTACACGAATATTTACAGTAGTATTATTCATAGTAGTTAAAAAATGGAAACCACCTAAATGTCCATCAACCATTGAATGGATAAACAAGTGTGGTATATCTATACTATAAAATATCATTTGGCAATAAAAAGTACTGATACATGCTACAATTTGAATGAACCTTGATATCATTATCTTATGTGAAAGATGCCAGTCACAGAATACCACATATTTTATGATTCTATTTATGTGAAATGTCTAAAATGGACAAATACATAAAGACAGAAAACTGATTAGAGGTTTCCTAGGGCTGGGGGGCGTGGTGGCATGAATGGTTAATATCTGCTAATGTATACAAGGTTCAAAGTATTCTAAAATTAGATTGCGTTGATGACTGCACAATTCTGTGAATGTACTTAAAACCACTGAATTGCATACTTTAAATGGGTGATTTTGATGGTATTGGAATAGATCTAAATCGGTCTTTTTTTTAAAATCCTCACCCAAGGTTATCTTTATTGATTTTTAGAGGGCGAGGACGGGGTGGGGTGAGGGGAGAAAGAGAAACATCAATGTGAGAAAAAAATAACCATCTGTTGCCTCCCAACCTGGGATCAAACACACAACCTCCATGTTGCACCCTGACCAGGGATTGAACCCTTTCTGGTTGCTCCAATCAACTGAGCCACCCACCCAAGGCTAAATAAGACTGTTTTAAGAGAAAAAAAACAACCACTTTCTTAAATAATCCAGGACCAAAGTGGGAAATCAAAACAGAAGATACCCAATCTTTACCAGAAGTCACAGAACACACTGAAGTTATATACAGTGTGAAATTCGCAGCTTTAAATGGCTTTGTTTTTAGTTAAAATAAATATAACAAAAAAGAGCTATGTGTTCAACCTAAAATATTAGAAGTAGAAAAAAATTTAGGCAAACCTACGATAAAAGAAAGTAGTACTTAATAAAAATAAAATCTTAAATAAATCAAATAAATATAACAATAGAGAGTTTAAATCAAATGAAGAGTTGGATCTTTGAGATTTTACATCATAGGATAACCCCCTAGCAAACCAGATAAAGGAGAAACGTTTAAATATTACATATATACAAAGAGAGAGGAAAAGTCTTTCCCAGATAGGGCAGTGGTGATAGTAGTTATTGTGGAATACTATGTATAAATGTACAGCAACATACTTTAATATTTATGTGTAACAGGTGCTTGCTTCCCTAGCAAAATATAAATTGACAAAGTTGATAGAGGAAAAAACATAGAAGACAACAATGAATGGAGAAAGAACCAGCACAAAAAGGACAATATAACAAATACAAAGACTGAAAGGTAGAAATGAAAGGGGGGCAACTCATAGACCTCAGGGCCTGGGGAACAGTACAATGATGAGTTCTCTGTGTTTCATTTCCCCTCCCATATATCACTGGAGAAGCCTATAACTCAAAACTGTCAACTGGCACAGACAAAAAAAAAGTTCTAAAAAAAGCCTACTCCCCTTAATCAAAGGATCAAGAAAGGTATGGCGTAACTGAACATATCCAGCCTACGCCAGCTAAACACTAATAGAATACGTTCTCTTAAAGCACCCATAGAACAATCTCCAAGACATACCATATCCAGGGTCGTAAAACAAACCTCAACAAATTGAAATCTTTCTTTAAAGATTTTATTTATTTATTTTTAGAGAGAGGGAGAGAAACATCAATGTGTAGTTGCCTTTCAAGTGCCCCCCACCGGGGACCTGGCCCACAACCCAGGCATGTGCCCTGACTTGGAATTGAACGGGCGACCCTCTGGTTCACAGGCTGGTACTTAGTCCACTGGGCCAACCAGCCAGGGCAGCTAATTGAAATCTTAAAGCGTATGTTCTTTGATTATAATAGTACTGAAGTAGAAATCAATAACAAAAAGATAACAGGAAAGTCTCCAAACACTTGGGAATTAAACATTTCTATATAATCCAGAGGCCAAAGAGGAAGTTTCAAAGGAAATTAAAAAGTAATGAATGAAAATAAAAATATAAATGAAGTTTGTGGGATGTAGATAAAGCAGTGTTGAAAGGGAAATTTATAAATTTAAATGTTTATATTAGAAAATAATTAAGGTCTTCATTCAATAATCTAAGCTCCCACCTCAAGAAACTAGAAAAAGAGCAAAGTAAACTCAGAACAAACAGAAAGAAGGAAGTAATAAGCATAAGAGCAAAAATCAATCAAATTGAAAACAAAAAAATAGAGAAAATCAATGAAAGAAAAGCTGGTTCTTCAAAAACGTTGAGAAAATTGGTAATCCTCTTGCAAGAATGACAAAGAAGACACAAATTACCAACATCAGAAATGAAAGAGGAGATATAACTACAGATACTGCAGCCATTGAAAGGAAAGGCAATACCACCCACAGCTTTATGCACATTAATTCAACAACTTGGATGAAGTGGTCCAATTCCTCACAAAACACAAACTCCCACAACTTACCAACTATTAAATAGTTACTCTGAAGAGATATTAACTAGGTAATCTGAATAGTAATGTAAGTTCTACAGAAATTGAAGACAGTCAAAAAGCTTCCAAAGGAAAATTTCCAGGCCCATATGGTTTCACTGGAGAATTCTATGAAACATTTAGCAAAATTCTACACAATCTCTTCCAGAAAATAGAAGAGAACACTTCCCAACTCATTCTATAACACCCTAATACTAAAACCAGACAAAGATAGTATAAAAAAGGAAAACTGTAGACCAAGATTTCTCATGAATTTAGATGCAAAAAGTCCTCAAAAAAGTATTAATCAATTCCTCCAATACATAAAAAGAATTATACACCACAATCAGGTGGGGTTTATTCCAGGAATGTAAGGCTGGTTCAATATTAAAAAATCAATCAGTATATTCTCCCATATTAACAGACCAAAGATAAAAAATCATGAGAGCATATAAATTCAAACAGTTAGACAAAATCTAACACACCTATTCATGACAGAGAACCTTGAAATAGCCCCACACAAGTATGGCCTATTTATTTTTGACAAAGGTGCAAAACATAAACAGAGGAAGGATGTCTTTTCAATAAATGGTGCTTGAGTAATTGGGCTTTCAAATAAATGAACTTCAATCTAAGACTCACACTTCATACGAAAATTAACTCAAATGGACCATGGACAGCAGGAAGGAGAAATGGACAAATCAGCATCACAGTAGAAAATTTCTCTCTCCTCTCCCAGGAATAGAAGAAGCAGAACAAAAAAAAGTGTACAAATGTTGTACAACACAACTGACAGCTTAAAAATTAAATATTGTCGAGTTATATATGGAACATTTATAAAAATTCACCATGTACTAGGCCATGCACCCCCTCATATTTCAAGGAATGAGCTTCATGTAGACATTTTTCGGACCATAATTTTCTGAGGTTAGAAAACTATTAAATAGGTAAATTTTTGGAAACTGAAGACACACTTCTAAATAGCTCACGGGCAAAAGAAAAATGATCAACTCTTAGAAAATACTTGGGACATAATGCACCAGACCTTGTGGGTTTGAGTGAACTTTAAGACCTTAATATCGACATAAGAGAAAATACTGCAAAATAATGAGCTAACCATCCAACTACAGTTAGACAGTTGAGTCCATCACTGACCACACAAAATTTCCCAACACTTACCCTCCCCCAGGGCCTCATCACCACGAAACGCCTCCGGCAAAGAGCATTGAGATCCTCCTGACAACAACTACTGAGAACCACAGTCGCTTCCGGTCACCACCCTTAGCACCGCCCCTTCTCGGGATTTGGGGCATCGCTGAAAGGGAGTGTGGTTCTGCACATGCGCAAAACCACATTTGAAGCTGCAGTTAGCGGAGAGTCAACATGGAGACGTTACGCAGTCGGTGTTAGGGGACATTCGATGCCCCTCGGCAGCGGTGGGGTACATGGCCGTGCCCAGTTCGCCCTTCTTTCTGCCCTGTTGAAGGAATGTAAATAAATTGGAGTGCCCATTCCGTATTGAGGATGAAGAAGCCTTTACAGGCACAGAGCTGAGCGGTGAATCCATCTCACAGGTGGTGGGGAGCACGGGTAGGGACATTTCTCTGAGCGAGCTTCCTGAAGGAGGGGCATCTTTGGCTCTGTACTCTTATGTATTTGTGTAGTAATATTCAAAGAAGCCGAGGGGCCTCTGGAAAGATGCAGAAGTGCCAGTGGCTGTCATCTCCTGGCACATACTACAAGATGAGAAAGGGGGAGAGGTCAGACTGGTTACGGGCTTCTCCTGGAACATACCACGAGGGGAGAAGGGAAAGATCAGGGATGTGCGGGCCCTCCCTAGGGTATAGCGCTGGAGAAAAAAAGGGGGGATAAGTCAGTGTTACCTTCCTCTCTACTGTGCTTGTGAAGGCTGTGGGATTTGAATGTTCCCATGATCTACATTATCTTCTACTCTAGCTACCGAAGCTAAAATAAAAGTATCTACAATAATATTTTTTTATTTTCCTGAACTTAATGGAATATGTTCATAAAAACATCTTTAGGAAACTATTATCTTATTTCTTCATAAAATAAAATCTACAAAGTGATAATGCCCTTACTTTGCAAATGTAGCTTTAAGACAAGGCTGATTCTGCTCTTCAACCAGTTTGCCCTTATCATCTCCAGTATGGAAATTCTGGAGATGCCCTGACCTTCTGGGAGATGTCACAGGGGCAAAAGGGGAAGAAGTCTTGCTGCCCTTCACCTGGGAATGCCTACTTACACTTCAAAGCCAAGTTTAAATATCTCCTCCTCCAAGGAATCCTCCAGACAGAGATAGAAGGCTCTGTGCCCTACTGAAGGCCTTTTTGAATCCTCAGGTGAGGAAGGTGTTTTGAGGGGACCCCTACCTATATCCCTGGTCTGGGTGTTTGCTGGGTAAATAAATGAAAGAAGAAATGGAATCAGTAGAAGTACATTTGGCATGCATACACTTCTAATAAGAGTGCCAGGAATTAATGTTGTTGAGGGTCATAATAATACTAGGTTATGTTAAAAAATAGGTCTGTTAGACCATTTCAGAGAAGATAGAGCCAATAAACATGTGAAGAGATATTCCAACTCCTTAGTGATCAGGGAAATACAAACCAAGACATGTTGAGATGACATTTTACACTCATTCAATTTGCAAAAATCTGTCTGACAATACCAAGTGTTGGAGAGGATGTGTACCCACAGGATCTTTCTGCCCTGTTGAAGGAATGTAAATAATTGAAGCCACTTTAGAAAATAGTTGGCATTCCCTCCTACAGTGAATATTTATATACCTCACAATCCAGCCAGTCCTCTGTAAGGGGTGTATCCAAGAGAAACACTTGCACATGAAACCTAAGATATGCATGGCATCCAGTTCACAACAAAAAATGATGCTTATCAACAGGAGTCAAAATGAATGAACTATAATAATACCCAACAATATGGATGAACATTAAGGGAAAAATCCTATAATACCTGAAAGATTGTATGAAACAACACAGTTTTATAAAACTAAAAGTTCCTAATATAAAGAACGTGAACTATTTAGGATTTTGTGTAGTTGTAATAAAATTATATAAAAGGGAAATAAAAAATTGATGAACTTGGGATTCAGGATGTTTGCCTCAGCTGAGAGGGAGCAGGGCAATGAATTGGGGGAACACATGAATAGATGGAGGTTATTGTCAAGACCCTAGCTTTTCTTTTAGGTGGTAGGTGCCTAAATGATAACCATATAATTAAAACTAACTAAATACTTCAATTAATTGGGAAATTTTAATTGTTTGATCAATATCTACATGTAAAAAGAGAAAGTGTCCATAGAAAAAAGTGCTGCCCCTTCCTTGAATGGGGCAAGAAAATCTTTGGCCCCAGACAAGAGATACCACCCAGTGGTAGGATGAGCAAGGAAGCAGGACCTCCACACCTTTGACACTAAGACCCCTTCCCATATATGCTCTGGCTCCATGGCTCACTCCATCATGCCACTTGTGGCTGCTCAAATGTCTTTTCTTCAGATGTCTTTCTTCCTTGACCTACCCCACCACTCTCTAGCTCCTTGCAATACTTACGTTTTCTTCATAGCCTTCCTTTTCATCAGAAAGTATCTTACTCATTTACTGTTTGCTCATTACTTGTCTGTGCTGATACTGCAATGAGCTCTGCTTTTCACATATGTGAAGTAATCAATTGCTTGTGTTTAGTATCATTACTGCACATGCAGTGAGCAGCAAACACACACACTGGATTTATTTTCTTAAAAGGTTAATTATTCCATCCAAAAGACTGCAGGCATCTCTGGATGACACGACTAATTATAAAATTGATTTGGTATGAGTAATTCAAGAAATACTAAAGAGATGGAGAACTTATAAGTATATGAGATTCTGTTCATTCATCAAATACAGGGTCCGGCAGTAGTAAGGCTTGCTTGAGGATGGTTGGTGGGGTATGTGAATGTCTCGCACGAGATGGACAGCAATGTCAACATTTCACCTAAAATGTCATATGGTGTGCTTGAGTGTGATATTTTTATGTTACAGAATTACATGCTTATGATTTTGTAATAAAAGTTTTTGTAATTAGAAAGGGGGCACTATTTGTGCTGGATCCTGTATTTACCTATCACCAGACACTGCCGTTAGTATTTGATGTTTGGTAAAGCAGAAGAGCCTCCAAATCTCTAGCTTCATGGACCTGGCATCCTAGTGGGGAAGAAAAGTAATAAACATTGTTTATCAAAAGGTGGTAACTGCTGAAGGGGAGTGGATAGGGCAGAGTGATGGGAGTTGGAAATTTGGGGAGACTGCCACTTTAAAAAGGAGTATCAGAGTCTCCTTTTAAACTCTACCACTGACTTCTTGCATCCTGGAGCAAGCCAGTCTCAAATCTTCACATTTGTTTTGGGCATCCAGTTAAAAACAAGGAAGAATGCAAGGTCAGAATATTTTCATATTTGCAGCTAAGGACAGAATGGTAAGCACCTCTGTCATACAGTAGATGCAAAGAGTAATAATATCTAAAGAAAATTAAGTCACTGCAATAGCATTTAAAGGCTTCCTTCAGTTGGTGTGCATGAGGTAACTCCCCAGTTGATGCAGGGTTAGAGTTTTTATAGGGGAAAGTTGAGTATGTGTCCTTGCAGTTTTGGCTTAGGTAACAGCTTTTTTACTTTTTAAAGGAAACCCATAGTTGGGGTGGGGGTCAATCCTGTTTTTGTGCCTCTCAGTGGATTGGAGTCCCATACCATGAGAACAGTTTTTTTCAAGAATTGTTTTGGAAGCCTCTGCAGTATTTGGTCTGGATGGTCAGGACTTGGTCAATAACTGCCAACCTCCTCATTTTTTGCCATCATTCTCCACTCCAAATCAGGTTCTACTGGAGAAAGCTGAATCTGTTCCCCTAACCAATCACATAGGATGCCCCATTTCTATTGAGCCCACCACCAGCTTCCCGAGGCCAACAACCTCCAATAAGAGCACACCTGAAGCCTTCTTGTTTTTCACAATAAAGCTTTCCCACCCCCAACTTCCATCTGCCTTTGAATTTCTACTAAACATAAGTGATGGTAGCTGACTCCCTTGCTGTAGAAAGCTCTAAGTAGCCTCTGTCTCCATTTGGGTCATCTTTGTATGAGGGGGAACCCCCTCAAAATGGAATTTATTTATTAAAAAATTGTGTATTTATTCTTACACATTTAACCCTCAATCACCTTCAAAGTACTCTCCATTTGATGCAGTACACCTATTGAGATGATTTTTCTACTGTTCAAAACAGTTTTTGAAGTCGTCGATTTGGATGCCTTTTAGTGCTTCTGCAGTTTTTTGTTTCACCTCTTCACTTTCGCAAAACATTTCCTTTTGAGGACTTTTTCTTCATCTGGGGAAACAAACAAACAAAAGTCACTCGGGGCAAGATAGGGTGAATAGGGAGGGTGGGTCACAGGAGGCATGCTGTTTTTGGTCAAAAACTGCTGAACACTCAGTGTGGTGAGGGCATGTATGCTTCTAAATCACCGATCGCAAAATGGACAAACACGTTGAAAGAGTCTTCAGAAAAAACCTCACTGAAGCTGAATGCAACCTCTCACAACAATGCCAACGCCAACTGGTACACTGATACAGATGGGTTCCTAGAACACTCACCTAGAGGGGGAAGCCTGTGCTACAAGGGCCCCCACTCCAGAAGATAATTCCGGTTTTTTAGGGGTTCCCCCTCATATATCGCCATGCTCCTAAGAACAAGGACATTTTCTTGCACAGCCAGAAGCCCATTCTCACATCTAAGAATTTGTGTTATGATTTTAAATTTTATTTTAAAATTATCATATAGTAAAATTAACTTTGTTGGTGTACAGTTTCATTAATTTGACTACATGTTTAGATTTGGGTACCCAACATCAGGATGTAGAACAGTTCCATCACCTCCCTCTAAAACATCAACTCTCATCACACCTAAGAAATTTAACAAACATACAAAGTAATATGCAGTTTAAATTCAAATTTTTCTAATTACCCCCAAATTTATTTTTTAATAAGGTAATTACTTTCTTTTTTTAATAAAGAGCTATTTATTTATTTACTTATTTTTAGAGAGAAGGGAAGGGAGGGAGAAAGAGAGGGGGAGAAACATTAATGTGTGGTTGCTTCTCACACACTCCCTACTGGGGACCTGGCCTGCAACCCAGGTATGTGCCCTGACTGGGATTCCGACCAGCGACCCTTTGGTTCACAGGCTGGCACTCAATCCACTGAACTACACCATCCAGGGCCCCAAATTTCTTTATAATTTTTCTTTAAATCCCAAATCCAAACAAGGTTCATGCATGGCATTCAGTTGTTATGCCCAAGTCTCTAATTTCTGTTTAGTCTGCAAAAGTATTTTCGCTGGCCTGTGTTGTCTGTCATGACCTTAATATTTTTGAAGAGCCTATGCCAATTGTGTTGTAGATGGCTGTGCATTTCTTATTGTTTTCTCATTAATAGATACAGGTCAAACAGCTTTGGGAAGGAATCTACATCAGTGAGGTGTCCCTCTCAGTAAATCATGTTTGGGAGATACGACTGGAGGAGCGGGGAGAAATGTCTTGATGGCACTAGATATAATATACATTGTGCCTGAGAGAATAAATTTTGGAACGAACAGTTCTGAGTTGAATTCTGTCTTTCCATTTGCTAGCTTTGTAACCTTAGTGTACATGACTTAAAATCTCTAAGCCTCTATTTTGTCATCTATAAAATGGGTAGAATGATAATAGTAACAAATAATTGTCAAAGTTGCGAAAATTAAATGAGGTGCCTATGTGTCTTTTAATAACAAAATTGCTAGTATTTATTCAGTGCTTACCTTACAAGTATCATCTCATGATACTTTACAAGTATGACTCCTTAAGATAGCCCCACATATATGTGTGAATTTTTGACAAAGATGCAAAATTGAATTGTTATACTTTTTGTACATTTTGTACTATTGCAGAAAAATAAATCATTTTTTTAGAAAAATTAATTCTTTTTTTAGAAAAATGAATTCTTTCTAAAAATTGGACATGCATGTGCAAAAACTAAATATGAACTTGGATCTATACTTCATACTAAAATTAATTCAAAATGGATCATGGATCTAAATATAAAACCTAAATTATAGAACTTATACAGGAAAACTTAAGGGAAATTACTTGTGACCTTGAGTCAGGCAAAGATTTGTTAGGTATGGCACCCAAAAAGTGTATGGTCCATAAAAGAACAAATTGATAGATTCTGCTTCATCGAAATTAACAACTTTTGTTCTTCAGAAGACAAGTCACAGACTGGGAGAAACTTTGCAAATTGCTTTTATTATTAAGGACTTCTGTATGAAAAACTCTCAAAACTCAATAAATAAGGAAATTAAGAACTCAATTTATTAAATGTATGCACAGATACTTTACCAAAGAATATCTATAGGCAGCAAATAAGCGCATGAAAAAGAATGCTTAACATCATTAGTCATTAGGAAAAATCCTAAAAACTCCATGGGGTACCACCCCATATTTATTCAAATATGTAAAATTAAAAACATCAACCACCCTGGCCGTGTAGCTCAGTTGGTTAAGGCATCATCCTGTGATGCCAAGGTTGTGAGTTCAATCCCTAGTCAGGGCACATTCAAGAATCAACCAATGAATGCATCAATAAATGGAACAACAAATTGATGCTTCTCTCTCTCCCCCTTCTCCCTCTAAAATCAATTTTTTTTTAAAAAGGAAAAAAAAATCAACCATACCAAGTATTGGCAATAGTGCAGGGTAACTAGAAAACTCATACATTGCTGGTGGGGAATATAAAATATACAATGAGTTTTGGCAGTTTCTTATGTTAAACATACACTTACCATATTACCCAATCATTCCACTCTCAGGTATATATTCCTAAGAGAAATGGTAGTATATATCCTCACAAATATTTATATATGAATATTCACAGCAGTTTTATTTGGAATAGCTAGAAACTAAAAACAACCCAAATATCAATCAACACATGAATTAGTAAACAAATTATATCATTCAATGGAAAATGGCATACTCTCAGCAATAAAAAAGGAATGAACTCTTGATATACACTATATGACTCAATCCCAAAATAATTATGCTGAGTGAAAGAAAACAAACCAAAAAAAGTACATACTTTATTATTCCATTTATTAAAAATTTTTTTAAATGCAAACTAATCTATAATGACAAAAAGATCAGTGGTTGCTTTGGGGTGGAGAGTGAGTTGGGACAGGGGATTGCAAAGGGGCAGAAGAAATCTTGAGAGGTAATGGATATGTTCATTGTTGTGATTTTGTGGTTGTATACATGTGTCAAAATTTATCAAATTGTATGTTTGAAATATGTTGTTTATTATGTCAATTGTGACTTAATAAAGCTGTTTTTTAAAAATCAGATCACATCTCTTTCCAGCATATAAAACAGCTCAATGGTAATATATTGGTTACAGGTAAATTTTAAAAGGAATTGCTTTACGAAATAAACCAGGGGGCGAAAGACAAATACCATATGATCTCACCTATAAGCGGGACCTAACCAACAATACAAAGGTGCAAGGAAAATAAGACCAGCAACACTGAAAGGAAAAGAAACCAACAGAGACAAGAGGGAAGGAGGGAGGGGTGGGCGGGGGGGAAGGAAGAGAAGGGGAAAGTCAAGGAACATATAGCAAGGACTCATGGACAAAACCAAAGGGGAAGAGTTGAGGGAGGGAGGGGGGGAGGGGGCAAGGGAAAGTGGTGAGTGGAAGGCAGAGACAAATGTATTTGAAAAAAAATTAATTAAATAAAAAAAATAAAATAAATAAAAGGAACTGCTTTATGATTCAGCAGTTCCACTTCCGAGTATATATCTGAAGAAAACCAAAACACTAATTTGAAAGAATATATGACCCCTATGGTCATTGCAGTGTTATTTAAAATAGCAAAGATATGGAAGCAAACCAAGTGTCCATCAATAAATAAGTGGATAAATGAAGTTGTTAACTCTGTTGAAGCAGGTTTGTGGTCCATTGGTTCTGAGAGGTTTCCAGAATAAAGACACTCATCAAATGTCAAAAACTTTGCACTGGATTTTCAGCCCCCTGACATTGATTTTGGGGGCTTGTGGAATATGGCCTGTTGAACTGGGGGTCATAGGTCTATTGGAGACAGTTTGAGCATTCTGTCCCTGTCTTCTTGCGACTGTGCTGTCGGAGCAGAAGAGCAAGTGGACACATTCGTCCCCTTTATAGTGAGTAAACACACTGTTCCCATGCACAGAGTTTTTGTGAATCTGTGGCTTCTTTCACCCCGTGTGGCCTCTGCTCACTGACGAGTAGGAAAGCTCAGTGTGGTATGTGTGTGTGTGTGGCGTTGCTCTCTCGAACCCTCTCCCAAAGTCAATATACAGAATCAGATTCAGTTAGGAGTGAGAAGACCGCTCCATTTGGTAAAGTTCAGGAAAATAGGTGAGTGTCACTACAAAATACTTTAATCAGTTTGTCTCTTGTGATGATTATCTAAAGCTACCTATTTGGTATTCTAAAACTGACTCTGGATGTTCTTGGGGATTTACACTTTAATCAAGTTTTTCTTAATTTTCATGTGGTTCATGAAAATTACAGCAGGAACAGTAACTCCTTTAAATAAAGAAATATTTCAAATTCCAGAAAAATATGGAGGATAAGATCAGAAACATGTGCACATCTGCTGCTGGGTCCAGTCACATCTTAACATTATTGCACAACTGCTTCAGGTTGTTCTGAGCTCCTTTACTCAAAATAGATCACGACACTCTGAACAAGTCACAGCTGACGTCATCCGTGCAAGCCCTCACCGGTCCCTGCCGTCCCTCCTTCTGCCCTTCTCGACTCCTGAATTTGATGAGTTTTATTCTCATTCAGGTTTTTATACATTTACCATTAATTTATTATGTATAGAAACATTGCTGCTATTTTGCATGTTTTAGGACTTTATATGAATGGCCTCTGATTGTACATAACCTCCTGCATCTTACTTTCCTCACTCAGCAGTGATCCTCTCGGGAAAGAACCCCCCGAGAATCTTTCCTGAGCAGCTGAACCCAAAAAGAGTCAGGCTTTAGGAGATACTTTCCAGGCCCTTCCTGTCACTCACCCTGATTCCCGTGGTTCTGACCTTCATCGGGATCATGCTCAGGAGACTTTGTGGTCTGTTTCTTAGGGCGCATGAAATCTGGGAGGTTGGCCCTGAGACCTAGGAGAAGCAAAGCATTTGTTCCTTAAGAGACAGCCTGAGAGGAGCATGGATGCTGGGGGTGCAGCAGGGGCAGTAAGGTCATCAGGTGGGGGGGGTCGAACGAGGGCCAGTGGGAGTGAACCGTGGGGGACCCAGGCCTGAGCATCTCTGTGGCCACTCCCGGCCCTGCGCTCTGTTCAAGATACAATAGAGCAGAAGGTGCTGGAGCTGCCCTGGGATTTCTCCCCACACCAAAGGAAAGAGGGGGTCACTGGCTGCAGCCTAAGACAAGGCCATGGCATGTAGAGGGAAAGAGGGATGGTCTTGTGTTCCCAGGCCTATCTGGACCCAGAACTTCCTGTTACCTAGATGAGTCATGGTGTCGTAGTTTCTCTTCATGTACACATGGGTGATTTTCTCTGAGTTTCCCAGCTTTGCCCACTCTTCCTCGGAGAAGTATTTGCAAATGTCCATGAAGGCCTAGGGAAGAAAGAGAAATAAATCTTGGCAGTGTCTCAGGTAAAAATATCTGACATTTAGCTTGGCCTCTTCCTCCACTGCAGGACCTGTGCGTTGGACCTGTAACCTGGAGCGAATCATTCCTCCCGGTTGACGTCACCGCTAGCTGAGAGAAGGGTAGCAGCCCTTAGCCTCTCCCCTGGCATGCTGTAGGTGCGTCATGCGGGTGGTGGGCTCTGTTCTCACCGCGCAGGATGGACTGACAGTCACCGAATGCAGTGCAAGGTCACAGACCTAGTCGTCTCCAGGGATGCTGGACAAGTTCTGAGTGAGGGTGGGAATCTCCCGAGGCCCTGGATCTCCACCGTGACACCCCGTTCCCTGTCCTCACTGCCTCTGGCCTCACGTCCTCAGAAATCTAGTCACCCTACCGTGACCCCAGGCCACCACTCTTCCCCCTCTGGATCACCTCACCTTGCATTTCTCTTCTGATTTGCCTTTAGCCTCCATGGCTTCCTTTGCAAAGGAGCTGCCTGTGTTCATGGCTCTGGGATGGTTAGACCTTGAAGGGACACAGCCTGAGTCTCTCCAGTCACAAGGCCAAATGTCCTGTGGGAGAGAAAGCCCTGAGGGAAAGCCATACTCAGACTGTGAGCAGGAACAAGGTTTTGCTTCTCTCCACCCTTGGCCCATCTGTCAGTGGGAAAGGACATGAGGGAATCCAGGTTAGGACAGGGGCCGTAGGTCTCTGGGAGGAGGATGGATAGGGTGACAGGTTTTCTGTGGGCATGACCAAAGGAGCCTTGAGTCTCTGAAGGAGTTTGGCTACTGTTGTTAGTAGTTTGCCTGGACTTTGGCTTATCCTGAAGGAAAGATAGAAAGGCCCTGGTTGGAGAAGCAGTGAAGTTGAGGGTGCTGTGTTACTGAGGGGGTGTTTTGCATCAAAAAGGCCAAGGGAGGTAATCTCAGAGATCAGAGGATTTGTATATTGAGGCAGAGGGATGTGGGCTTTTTCTCTGTTGAAAAGAAAATAGTTCTGCTAATATGAGTGGATTTGGAGGCTAATTCTAGGTAATTTGGAAATTATTAAAGAGAGATTTAATTTCTGAGACTACTGGACCAGGTGTCACCCTAGCTGAGGGGTTTCAATGCAGATTCCTGGTGCTCTCTAAAATGAGGGCATTGGGAGTCTCTGGATTTCTGAGTCTAAAAAGTTTGTTGCTTTAACCCAAATGCCAATCAACAGACCAGTGGATAAAAAAGAAGTGGTGCCTAGATGCAATGGAATATTACCTGGTCATTAAGAAAGTGAATTCTGCCCTGGTTCATGTGGCTCAGTGGATTGAGCTCTGGCTTGTAAACTGAAGAGTCACTGGTTTGATTCCCAGTCAGAGCACAAACTAGGTTGTGGGGCCAGGTCCCCAGTTGGGGGCGTACGAGAGGCAACAGATTGATGTTTCTCTCACACGTTGATGTTTCTCTCCCTCTCTTTCTACTTCCTTTCCCCTTTCTCTAAAAGTAAAATTTTTTTAAATAAAGCTACATCTCACCATTTATGACAGCATGGATGGACCTAGAGGGTATTATGCTAAGTGAAATAAGTCAGTCAGAGAAAGACAAATACCATATGATTTCACTTTTATGTGGAATTTAAAGAATAATGAACAACAACAAAAGAAACAGACTCATAGACACAGAGAACAGACTGATGGTCGCCAGAGTAGGGAGGTTGGGAACTGGGTGAAAAAGGTTAAGGGATTGAGAAACATAAATTGGTAGTTACAAAATAGTCACAGGGATGTAAAGGAAAGCATAGGAAATATGGTCAATAATATTGTGATAACTATTTACGGTACCAGGGAAACACTTTGTAAAGTATATGATTGCCTAACCACCATGCTAATATAAACTAGTATTGAATGAAACTAATACAAAATAGTATTGAATGTAAACTGTAATTGATAATTTTTTTATTTTTAAAAAGAATAAAAATTATTGAAAAAGAAATGAAAATGTATATAATTGGACAACTGATGAAATAAAAACTTCCAAACTAATGAGGTAAGGGGGAAAGACAAAGATGAACAGAAGCTTCATTAAGCTATTAGGAAGAAGAAAAGGATGAAAGTTGTACTTAGGAAATAGTAAAATTGATAATAAGCATAACACAATATAAAATATAAGATTATCATAATTACATGAGTTTAAATAAATGGACTGAATCTCAAGACACAAATGTGGGATTAGGGCAAAAATGTACTAATATATGGTTACAAGAAGTGTATCTTAAAGAGAAAAATGCAAAGTTTTCGGCAAAGATTCACTAGGTAAGTGGCAGCAAAATAAAAGCAACAGCTGTGATGTACTTATCAAAGTAAAATTCAAGGTTAAAAACATTAAGACAAAAATTAGAAAAATACATTAATGGCATTGTGTAAAATGGCCTAAGGTATACAGTTTAGTATTCCCTTTCCCCACTCTCCCCCCAAAAAACCCCACAGAACCACAAGAAGAAATTTGTTTAAAAATATAACATTTATTCTATCTTTTAAGAATATAACAGCTGAAGTAGACAAAAAGCAAAAAATCAAGGTAAAGAATCTTTCATCATCGAACTAGATTGAAAAGTTGTAATGAATAATCTGTACCTAACACAGAATAGTTTCTTCTCTTATTATCTATGGAAATTTTACAGAATTCAATTGAGTACCCATGCCACCGAAAATATCTTGAACAATGCTTATAAATTCATATCCAACAGCTACATTCTCTGATCACAGGAAAACCATTATAAGAAAGAAAGAAAGAAAGAAAGAAAGAAAGAAAGAAAGAAAGAAAGAAAGAAAGAAAGAAAGAACAAACTGCCTTAATCAGTTAAAAACTAAAACACTTTCCTCAATAGCTAGGGTCAAAATGATAAATCAGTTCTGAAATTGCACCTTTTATTTCAGAGTTTATGAGATACAACTATATTTAGAAGACAGTATGTAGACTCAAATTCATTAGTATAAAAACACTGGGAAACCAAGAGTAATTATGTTAGGAATTTGGATTTCATTCATATGTAGGATATAAAACAAAAAGCAACAACTGAACAAACAAAAAAGAAACTCATATACACAGACAACAGAATGATGGTTGCCAGAAGGGAAGAGGGTCTGGGGAGAACGAAGAGAGTACACAGGGTTAAATACATGGTGATGGAAGTAGACTAGACTAGAACTTTGGGTGGCAAGCACACAAATAGAGTATACAGATATGTTATAATATTGTATACCTGAAATTTATATAATTTTATTAACCAATGTTACCCCAATAAATATAATAAAAATGAAAAATAAATTAGAAAAAGAACTTACGCAAAAATGTGAAAATGAAACAAACAAAAAAACCCTCCAGAAGTGGCAATTCATAAAAATTAAAGCTTAAATAAATAAATAATATATATTAGGGAGTATAAATAAAACAAAAGCTAGTCCTTTCAAATAATTAATTATATGAACCAGCCCCTAACAAATCTGATCAAATTATAATCAAACAGGAGATATTGCACCAAGTCAGTAGTAATACAAACTAGGTATAGTGAAATGTGAGGTATAAGTCTAAGGCAGCATACTTAAACATTTAGGTGAAATATGTGAGTCCGTGGGGGGGAAAATGTAATTGTGAAAATTAATTTAAAAATTATTAAGGGACCGGTACTCACAGGCAGTGTTACCAGACACACTTCCACAGGCACAAGAGGCCTAGTTGAGGCTGGCAAAGGCAGATGTGGCAGAGGGCCCAGCCCCCTTCCAGCAACCCTATAGGTCTGAAACAGGCATGACTGGATCGGGATTCGGTGGATGGGGCAGGCTGGAAAGGGCAGAGCTAGAGCAGGGTGTCGGGGGGAGGAGGACAGGATGTGATGAGCAGGGTTTGGGGGAGACAGACCATTACTGGACAGGCTGGGACCTCATATGATGGTCAGGGATAGAACAAGGTAGGAAGGGGCAGGGCATGATTGCCATGACACCTTGAATTCTCCTCCATATCCCAAAGTGGAAGCAACAGGGGGGACTATTCCACACTGACCTATCCCCTATCCCAGCATTTACCCAACACCTTTGGCCTAAGGAATATTAACAAATACAAGGATGTTGGCGAATTGGCTATGCACTAATCTGGCACCAACTATGTATCTTATGGCTTGGGAACAAGGGTCAGAACTGTCAGTTCCTCTTCATAAAGTCCCAGCTCCCCTAACAGAATAGGACCCCCTGAACACTGAGTGGACATCACTTCATACCCACCCCTGCATTGGCACTGCAGCCTGTTCATAAATACAGTTGCACTGTTACCACTGCCATCAGAGCTTCAGAATTGGGTTTGTGGCCAGACAGATGGGTTTAGGGGCCATCAGGAGATATGAAAAGCCTTTGCTTTTCCAAAGTTTATAAACAAAACTCTGGGCAGTGGGAAATGAGAGCAGAGAAGGTTTCCCTGGTCCATCTCAGATTCAGGGATGGAAGAATGAACAGAAATGGGGGAGAATTTTGAGGACCCCCTTCCAAAAAGGGATAGACAGAAACAAGAGACTAAATGATAAACAGAAACACAGAGACACTCCAAAATGCCCTGAGAAAGAAGTGGTTGAAGGAACAGGTGTGTGAGGAATTCGTTGAGTGCCTTCCTTGCATAGGATGTTGGGTACAGGACCTCAGCTGAACAGGGCTCAGTTGTCTGCTCTGGAGCGCAGGTCAGTGGTGAGCGGGTCGTGCTGGATTGTCTGGTGAAGCATCAGGGGCAGCAGACCGGCCCGGTTCCTCATAGCTGTGCGTACCTTCTGCTCCTGCTCACTCAGCATTTCCAGCTTGTACAACTGTGGGAGGTCAGCATGAGAGGGGGGATTCCAGGATTCTGTCCCACCTTTCAGCTCCACTCAGCATAGTAGCTTACCGCTCGCACGCGCTCTAGGTCTACCTCGGCACGCCTCAGCTTTTCCCAGCAGTAGTGGTGGTTACACTGGCGTTTGGGGAGGCGGCAAAAATTACCAGTGAGTTCAAAGACATTGTGCACTAGTGGGCAACCACACACCTCATCATCTGGTATCTGTTGGGAAGAATGACAAATGATGAGGTATAGAGGAGGACAGCTATGGCAGGTGATCAGGTAAGCACTATGAGAGGAAAATAGGGGAATGGAAGGCATTCAGGCAGGAAGGAGAGAAATGAGGAGTGACACACCGGGAGGAAAACAGGAATTCCCTGATTAGGTAGAGAAGAGGGGGCAGAAGGAGATGATCAAGATGGAGGATGGAGGAAGAAGTTAACAGGCAGGGATGGAGGAATGGAGGTGATCAGACAGAAAGGACAGAAAAACGGGGAGACTAAACAGGAAGGAGAGGAAGAGGGGAGGAAGATTTGACAAGGAGAAGTAGATGAATGACGGTTGGCAAGGCATGAAGGAGGTGAGGAATGAAGTAGGGGAGGTGGGAAAGGAGGCTGGATAAACAGGCAGAAAGAAAGGATTTAGGAGATGAAAGGCAGGGAAAAGGTGATTGGGGGCAGTGAGGCCAGGAAAATTAGAATGGAGGGAAGTTAGAAAGTGTGAGAGAGAGGAATCGAGGACAACCATGCAGAGAGGAAATGAAGAATGGAGGCAGTAGGACGGGGGGTGGGAAAGGAATGGAAGATGATTGAGCAAGGAAAAGGGAATGGTTATGCAATGTGGAGCAGAGGAATAGAGGGTGGTCAGGCAAAGAGAGAGAAATGTGGGTGGGGGCCAGGCAAGGAGGATACGAATAAACAGCAGTTAGGCAGACAGAAAAGTAAGAATAGAAGGTGACTGGGCAGCGAGGAGAGGGGAATGTGGGGTAGTCAGGAAAGGAAGAGGGGACATAGGAGTTGGTCAGGAGGTATGAAGGCAGTTAGGGAGAAGGAAGAAGGAAATAGGATAGAAGACAATCAAGCAGAGATAAAGAGAGGAATAGGGTTGTGAGGCAGGGAGAATGGAAGGAATAGAGGACGAGAAAGAGTCCCACCTTGGGATCCTTTGAGTGCTCAGGACACAGCACCTGGAGCCGCTTACAGTACCTCTTACTCTTTGGGTCGTAAAAGTCACAGAAGAGCCTTGTGGCCCTGGGGGAAGGTTGAAAGTGAGGTGTTAAAGGTCAGGAGGAGGGGGGTTCCATCCTGAACCTTGTCCCCACTCTGTCCCCAACCTTACCCATACCCTACCCAAAACCCACCCACCTCTGCCTCTGAGCCCACCCACATCTTGCCCACCCTGTTCCTAACCCCATCCACATGATGTCTTTGCCCCTGACCCGCACCCAGACTCACCCTTCAATGCAAGTGGGGTATAAGGACCCGAAGGATGATTTGCACTCATACTGGGAAAAAGATTACAAATAGGAGGAACTGTGGATGTACACTGCATGCCCTCCCATGACAAAGCCCCAAACAATATATTTGTCCCCTCTGCACTCCTATCTGCCCAGCCAATAGCCCTCCTCTACCCTGGCTGATGATCTAGTATTTGCCCTCATACTGGGGATGGAAGAAAAGTACAAATGAGTAGAACCATGGATGTATGTTGTAGTCCCTTCTACAACAAACACCCAGGCACCAAACCTGTCCCCCTCCTCATGAAACCCACCCAACTAAAAACACCCTTCCCCTGTCAGCCCCCAACCAGTGCCCCCAACCTTGGCAAAGCAGTGTTCCATGTGGCGCAGGGCACCTTGCATACTGATAGATTTCCCACAAGAGACACAGAAGATGTTCTGGCAGGCTTTGTTCATAACTTTGGTGCTCTGCACAGGAAAATAGAGGAGCCAGTATAGCAGTGCAAAGTGGGGATGGGCAGGGCAAGCTACAAAGTATATTTCTGCTACACCCTACTTATTCCCACTCACTTCCTCATCATTGCACACAGTCTGCTGCTTGCCACGCAGAATGATGGCCTCAAGTTCATGGAACTGATACTCCATGTTCTTTAGGTGGGCACGAGTGTCCTGCTGCTCATGGAGGATGCTCTCAAGCATTTTCTTGCTATGCTCCTCAGCAATACAGGGGCTGTTCTGCCACTGCTGGATGCGCTGGGGTAGGATCTCATAGATCCGTCTGGAAGGGGAGACAGCAAGAAATGAAATGGGTAAGTGGGGGCAATAAAAGAGGAGGGAATGGATCAGTGACTGAATGGTAAATATAGCATAATAGTAGATGAGTGAATGCTGATGAATGAGTGTTTAAAAGGTGGATGGGGTGCTTCAGGGAGTCCAAGTTCAGTGCCTCAGAGGTAAGTGACTGGTCAGCCATGCAGAAGGGCTTGATTCCTGGACAAATGGAGGAGCTCTGGAGCCATGGGCCTCTCTTCATCCTGCCACCCACCATGAGAGCCCTTCTTTGGGCAGGCCCCATGTGCCCAGCTGGCTGAAGGAGCTCCCTACTGTGTGCTCTCAGATCATCCCCTGGCTGTAGGGGTCTCTCTCTTCCACCTGATGAGTTGTTGGCTGCAGTTTCTGTGTCATGTACCTTCTGTAGTTCCTTTCTCCTTGTATTTGAATGAAAATCTGTACCACTGAGAATTTTAGTCCCCGTTCCCAACTTGGTATTTGGTGGGTGCTGCCTTACATGAAAACTGCTTTTGAAAACTATTTTTTGTCTTCTCCTTCTCTTCCTGCTATTTCCAGTGTGATGAAAAAGGACACTATGCCAACAGATGCACCAAAGGGCACTTCGCTTTTCTCAGTGGACAGTGACAGAAGCTGGAGACAGCTCAGAAGAGCCCAAGGGACCCCATTGGGCCACCCTTGGGAGTGTGCATTTAACTGTTCAATGCCAGTGTTAGTGCAACTCTGGCTGGAACTGGCAGGCAAGCACACTGGGGTTTGTCAATGTAAGGGACTATGTCTGTCAGTTCCCCTATCATTTGCTGTAATTTTTTTGAAAGGGGGACATGTGCTACATTTCTGTCCCTCAAGTCAGCTCATGTTTGTCTAGGCATCAACACTTCCTGTGTGGGACTTCCTGAACACCGCCCTCTGGAAAGGGGAGGAAGTTGCTGGGAAGAGCTTGTGCTAAGCAGTTCTGTATGAAAGACGCCCCTTCCCCTTGGTCCTCATTAAACACCAGTTCTTGGTGACCCCAGGGACCGGTGGATCATTAAAACTGCAGCTAGGTCATGCCTGCTTCCTCCATGTCCTGCTGAGTTCAGAAGCTGTGCCTGTCAATGTGATTTGAACCAGGCAGCCCTTCAGGGCAAACTCACGTGGACTTGTTGCCTCAGCTTGGTCCTGTTCCAAGGTGGGAGCAATTGAGAGGAGAGGTGCAAGACTCTCAAGTATGAGGGTATTTTTCCTCTGGGTTTATTTGCTTGGGGCACATGCTTGACAGTGTTTAAGGTATACCTTAAACTGGAGCTGCCGACAACCCTTTAAATAGATGACGCAGTCCACCTTTGCACCTACCTCCAGCCCCATCAAGTGCCTGTGCTGTCACTTGGACACCTTTGGCCTATGGAGACTACCCTAAGCCTGGAAATGTGAAACCACCTGGAACCTGCTGAGCAAGGGGGCCTATCCAAGTTCAGTTATAAGAACAATTTTTATGAGGTTGATTAAAGCTTGTTTAAAAAGAAAAAGGTAGATGGGTAGATGTCTGGGTGGGTAAATAACTGTAAGTGTGGATGAATGGGTTGGTGAATGGAATGCAGATGGGTAGTTCAGTGGGTGGGTGGCTATAAGGGTGGGTGGGTGGACGAATGAATGGTAGATGAATGGGTAGGGGGTGGGTGAACTTACAGTTGGCATCGATCGTGCCCTATCCCAACCCCTGTTGCTTAACCTCCAGATGTACTCACTCAGCTGCCAGCTTCATGCCACAGTAGTCTGAGCAGTACTTGGAACCTGGCCGGGTGGGATTCACACAGCCAGATCCCAGGCACTGCTGCAGCAGGGCTGGGTCCTTGGCATCCGTCTGTTCTGCATGTTTCCAATTTTCCATGGGTTTCTGTTCATTCTCGTTCTGTGGGACAACTGTGGTCAGGGCAGGACTAGGGGAATCCCCTAATCCTGTACCCCTGCCTTGCATTCTGCTCCAACCTCTGCTTCCATGCCCCCCACTCCACAATATCTGTCACCTTCCACTCCACCTTTTTCTTCAACTTCTCCATTTTCTTCATATTCACTTTCTGCCTCTACAGTGCAGGATCCAGAAACCCCTCCAAAAAAAAAAAAAAAAAAAAAAAACAACAACTACTTTTAAATTAATGGATAAAAAGGTCATTTATTATTTCAAGATTCTGTGGGTTGACAATTGGGGTAGGCTCAGCTTGGCAGTTCTGCTGGTTTTGCCTGGGATTCTCCTTACAGTTGTCAGCTAGTGACTTTTTGATACTAGATGGCCTCACTCACATATTTGAAGGTTGGTGGGTCAATGGAAGTGATGGAGCTATGAATCTCTATCAACTGGCAGGCTAGCCTGTGTTTTCCATATGGTTACTGGGGTCCAAAAGATCCTCCAAAATGCAAAAGCCCCAATGTGTAAGTGTATTGTAAGCCTCTGCAGGCATCATGTTTGCTGGCACCCCATTGGACATGTTACTAATCCAGGGTTGTAGGCCAGGGAAATGCTGACATATCTCTCCAATTTGTTTCTTAAATGGTCTTTGGACACTCCTGCCTCCTCTCTCCTCATTGCTGAACCTCTGTGCCTTCACTGTCTCCATCCATCTACCCAGGGGCTCTGCCATACACTCATCAGATTTTGATTGTCAAAAGTCCTCTATGAAAAAGTCCTGGTATAGTTTTCAGTCCCGAGGCAGATCTTTTTCAGTCAACAGATGGGATGTGGCTGTTGTCTGAGATGCCTCTTTTACTGCCAATGACTTTACTGCCACCATCTGGTACTTCTGGGATAGCCAGGAGTTGTGCAGTTGAGGCAGTTGTGGTTGAGCGAGCAGTTCCATTAAGACGATGGCAAGGTCTCTGAGGGTATTATAGGCAAGAGCTAAGGGGTAGACACTCATACTAGCTCCACTCCCCCATTTGCCCTGTGTCCTGGACTCACCAGAGACCAAGGATTACAAGTAGGGTTCCTTTGTTCGTGGGAGGAAGGCTTTGGATCAGCACTAAGCACATGGAGGCAGGCTCACCCTGCCCTAACACCCCTGGCCTCACCTTCAGGACAAAACAAAAGAGGGGGCCAACTGCACCTGCCTGGATGCACTATATCTTGCCTGCTTGGGAATGGCTGGAACTACCTGGCTCTGCTTGCCCACCTTATCCGGACATACCTGGCCGGTCCATCTGGCCCCATTTTGCTCACCTGAAAGCATAAGGTCCTAACTGTTCAGAAAACCCAGACTCCACCTCCTTAGACTTACTGGCTCAGCTAAGTGTGCCCTGTCCCATCCTCCAGAACATACCTGCTACTCTGCCCAGTCCACCCAAACACACATGGCCTGCCCCTCAGACATACTCTGTCCACCCATATTTCCTGCCAAGCCCATCTAGTCTCTCCAGGCCCTGACTTCCTAACTTGGCCCTCTTGGACACACTCGGGCTTGCCTTACTCTCCCAGCCCTGTGGAACCCATGCACTTCACCAAGACATACTCAGCTCCACTGCCTACCAGGCTCTGCTCCCTTCCCAGATTCTTTCAACCTCCTATGTCCCTCCCTCATTTATGCACATACTGGGTTCTGTCTTACCTTCCAAATATTGAGCCATGCCAAGCCCCATCTTTCCTCCCCACTTGCATATGCCTGCCATGCTGTGTCTGCCCTGACTGACTCACCTAAAATAATTTGACAATCTTTATTCTGAAACAATGCCTACATGTACCCAGTAACACCAAATAAAATATATACATATACATTTTTTTAAAAAGTTTGTGTGTATATGCACACACCAGCAAACAAATCACTACTCTCAGTGATTAATAGGGCAAGCACACACACCAAAAGAATATACACATTTCCAATAAGACAATTAACAATTGGCAAACTCATACTATTTTCAAGCTAGAGATGCAATGTTAATAAAAAGTGACCCTGATAGCTTTAAAGGAAGTCTAAACACAATCCAATTAATAAACATCACACAGGGCACAGATAAGTTACATTAGGAATTAATAAAAGGCTTAATTTTTGAAAAGTGTATAGGCACTTCTAAATAACTTTTGATAAAAAGAAAAATACCTGAAATTTTAAAAGCACAGAACTTAACAAGAACGAAAACAATACATACCCAACTGCGGTCTTAGATAGAACTTTAATATGAGAATATGAGGAAAGAAGAAAGACGTAAATTACTGATCTGAGCATTCAGTTCAAGTTAGAACAAGTCCCCATCCTGACTCCAAAGACCCCCATTATCAACCCCCAAATCCCATTAACCCACCCTTCCTATCAAAACCCCCCCCAAAGTGCTCGGTTAAAGCCCCTACAAATTACCTCAGCCAGCGCTCAACCGTAGAGAGAGCTTCGTGGTAGGCGCGGAGCGGAAAGGCTGCTTCCCGCTTCAACCTTAGCCCCGCCCCTTCAACCTTAGCCACGCCCCTTTATGAATATGTTGGGTTTGCGCACGCTCAAGACCCCCTGCAAAGCTGAAAGTTCGCCAAAAGTTCAAATGGCTGGTAGCAGAGAAAGCACAGAGGTGAAGTGTGGGTCATTCTGCAGAACACCAGCCACACCACAAGCCTACATGAATACACTTGTCTGTTTTGATGCCAGCACCTCACTGTTTTACATTTGGAATGATCTGCCATTGCATTATTGTATATGGCAGAAATATTGATCCTCTTATCATTTCCAATTATTTTGAATAATTTCATATTATTACTATTTTACTATCTGCTATGATTTTAATCATGAGGTAGGCAACGAGAAAAACAAGCAAAAAAACCCCTACATAAATCCATTTTTAAAAGTCAAGAAAGTAAAAAAAATATATAGAGAAGGGGCAGAAAAAAGAAAACGAAAATGTAAGAAGGTAGGAATAAGTTCATATTTGAAGTTCATATTGTATTACTTAATGAGTGATAAAAATTGTTAATGGAGTAAACTCTGCAGTTAAAGTCAAAGACAGTTATTTTGGATGAAAATTAACAAATCTAGCCATGTGCTCTTAATGCCAAAGTTAGCAAATCATAAAAATACAGGAATATTTAAAATAAAGGAATGGAAGAAAATTTGCCAGGCACATGCTGATCAAAATAAGCAAGATCAGCTTACATTAATATCAGACAAAAATACTAAGAAAGAAAGAAATAATTAAGATTGAAAGGGTCATTCCATAATGATTTGATTCAACATGAATATGTAAATATTTTAATCTCACACACAATTAAATTGTGTAAAATAAATATATAGAAAAATATATTAAAACAAAACTAAAATAGAAAAATATTCTCACTGTAGAAGACTACAATCACACTACTCTTTTAATTCCCACTTGCCCTTCAAGACTCAGGTTTTTAATCACCTGGGAAGCTCTCTCTGTGACAGGGAGTCTCCCCCATTGGCCAGAATGGCACACAGAGAGGTTCTTACACTGAGCATGCCAAAAGCTAGAAAGATGAATGGACAGGACCCAAGCAGGCCAAAAGCTAGGAATATAATTGGATATTAAAAATTAAAAAAGCCCTCCCATCCTTCTCCCTATAAGAACTGTGGGCTTGAGCAGGAACAGGGGACGGTTTTTCAGATGAAGTCTTCCATTCTCCCAGGTCATGGCACCTGACTCCTTCCTTGGATACCAGCGCCTGTTTCTCAAATTTGGCTTTCGTTGCCGCAGGCAGCTGAACCTGCATTTCAGTTACAATGGTTGGAGTGTTCTATAAATGTCAAAGAGAGCAAGTTGGTTGATGGTGTTAACAAAGTCTTCTATATTCTTGCGTATCTTCTGTCTGCTTATCCTAGTGCTTATTGAGAGAAGGGTATTGAAATATTCCTCCGTAGTTATAGATTTGTCTATTTCTCCTTGCAGTTCTACCAGGTTTGGTGTTTTGTGGGGTTTTTTTTTTTTTTGACATATTTTGAAGCTCTGCTATTAGGTCCCTAAACATTCAGGACTGCTATATCCTTGTAATGAATGAACTCCTTTATTATTACAGAATGACTTGTCAAAAGAAAAAAATGTGACTCAGATAGTGTTTAAAGATTTTATTCAACTAATGTGCATCAGTTAGAAACTTAAAAACAATAAACTCCCTGAGCTGAAGCAGGATTACTTTAAATGGAGCAAGAAAGGGGGTATGTGACTGTGGTCTGTACCAGGTTGCAATTTTCCTTATCTGTAATTGTTAAAAATTTGGAACTGTTGGCACACTGTTTCAGTTTTTCATGATTTTTTTTCTCAGGACCATTGGTGCAATCTCATGCCTACAGCTTTCAGAACAGTTCTTTGAGAACCATTTTTGTAATCCTTAAGGGTTTCCAAGGTTCAGGAGAGAAGGCGATTGTGGAAGGGGAAGAAAAAAAGGGAAAGGGTGCAAAGATTGAAACAGAAAAAACTGGAGCCTGTTTTAATTCTTTCATAGCTTTTCCTCTTGGCCAAGTTGGACTCCTGTCTTCATTGGCTAAATATACTGGGAGAGAAAACAAAAGTACAGAATGAATAATTTTCCAGAACATTTTTCCCCAAAGAAGCAAAATACAAGTTCTGTCCAGAAAAAGTCCAGCTATTGTTAACATAACAAGAATGGATCCTAGGACATCGATGAAATCTTGCAGACAAAGAGAGTGGACTGGAATGCCCATGCGTGAACAATGATGACTTCACTGTACTAGTCATTGGGGGCGGTAGGTGCCATTGAGTGAGCATGTGTACTGTGTGGCCCTTGCATTCAAAATACTGAGTGAGTAGAAGTGAGTAGAGCAACGAATCTGCATCACATTTTGCATTAAATTGAACATTCCTCCATAGAAACTACTCAAATGATTCCGAAGGCTATAGCTATGGGCAACTGGTGATTGACAGCTTCACTACAACACAACACGTTCGCTCATGCATCGTGTCCTGTGTAGAGCTGTTGGTGAAACATCCAGTCACCCAGGTGACTCAGCCCCCCTACAGCCCAGATTTGATGCCCTGCGACTTCTGGCTTTCCCCAAAACTAAAATCACCTTTGAAAGGGAAGAGATTTCAGACCCTCAATAAGATTCAGGATATGATGGGACAACTGATGGCTATTGGGAGAACTGTGTGAGGTCCCAAGGTGCCTACCTTGATGGGGCCTGAGGTGTCATTATCCTATATACAATGTTTCTTGTATCTTGTATCTTCTTCAATACATATCTCTATTTTTTCATAGTACGTGGCTGGATACCTTCTGGACAGACCTTGTACACATTCTTTTCAAACACACATAGATCATTTTCAAAGACAGATCACATGATAGGACACAAAACAAGCCTTAACAAATTTAAGAAATTTGAAATCGTATCAAACATCTTCTCAGATCACAATGGCTTGAAACTATAAACCAACTTCAATAAAAAAAACTCCAAAAACATTCAGATAGGGGCTGCATAACACGTTATTAAGTAATGAATGGGGTAACAATGAGATCAAGGAAGAAAGCAAAAAGTACCTGGAAACAAACGAAAATGAACACACAATAACCCAAAATCTATGGGACACAGTGAAGGCAGTCCTGAGAGGGAAGTCCATAGTAATACAGGCCTACCTAAAGAAGATAGAAAAATCTCAAATAAACAACCTAACCTTACATACAAAAGAACTAGAGGAACAACAATACACATGGCCCAGAGTGAGTAAAAGGAAGGAAACAATCAAGATCAGAGCAGAACTAAATGACATGGAGACTAAAAAACAATTCAAAAAATTCAATGAATCCAGAAGCTGATTCTTTGAAAAGATAAAAAAAATTGACAAACCTTTAACCAGACTCATCAAGAAAAAAAAGAGAGAGGGCCCAAATAAATAAAATCAGAAATGAAAGAGAAGTAACAACTGATAACACAAAAATGCAAAAGATTGTAAGAAATTACTATGAACAACT